CTTTCTTTTGATATTATTAAAATCTTTAGTATATAAAAGAAAATTAATAAATAAAATAATTCATATTCATTTAGATTATTTAATAATTCAAATATATTTGATTTATATTGTTTAAGATGGTTTTATATTACTGTTTTTATATTATTTCTTTATTATTAATTTATATATTATCTCTTTTATATTCTTTTATTTCTTCATTTCTATTTATTCTTATTCTTTTATTTCTTTCTAAAAATCTTTTTATTTATTTAATTTATTATTATATTCTTTTGATATATTGTTATCATTTATATTATATATTTATATTATATATTTTCTATTTTATTAAATATATATTAAGTAAATATATTTGTATTGTAAATTGATTATAATACATTTCATCTATTATTATCATTTTATACTTATTTGTTAATTTATAGTGTGTGATAAATATATTATATCATTGTATATTATTTATATATTTTATTTCTTTTGATTTAATTTGATTCAAATTCTTTCTGATTATTTATTCTTCTTTATTTTTATAATATGTTATTTTCTTATTATTTCTTCTTTTGATTTATTTCTTTATCATCTTTTTATATTTGATTCATTATTTCTTTATATTTTATTTATGTTTATTTCTTATTTTATTCTATTAATCTTTTCATTTGATTATTTTCTATTATTTCTTTTTGTATATCTTCTTCTTGTTGTATTCTATATATTTTATTTAATGTTTTAATATGTATATCTATTACTCTTATTATTTTATTTCTTGTTTATTTATCTTTTAATTATATTCTTTTTGAACTTTCTTATTTCTTTATATTTTCTATTTCAATTATATTTATTTCTATATATTTATTATATTCTTTCTTCTTTATTTTTTATTATATCATATTCTCTATTTCTATATTATTTATATTTCGTATATTTGTATTTCATTCTTCTTTATTTCTTTAATAATTATATCTTTGATATTCTTATTTTCTTATTCTTATATTTATTTGTTTCTTATAATACTCATATTCATTATCATTTTGATTATTTTGTTGTATCTTGTTTATCAATGGATTATGAAATTGTATTAAATGATTGTTCATTGAATAGTAAACAATTTCTAATTTCTTGTTCAAATAATAAATTGAATTATAATAAAATACATATTCTTGTTCATTTTATTTATTTATGATTCATTTTTGTTCTATTATTATTATGAAACTACAATAAAATAAATGTTGATAATTGATAACATTCTTGTATTTTTCATCATTTGATAAGTTAATAATGAATGTGTATAATAAAAAGTGAAATGATGTTAATTATATTGTTAAAAACATTATAAAATCACTTGATTCAATAATGATTTAAGATAAAATGAATTTATGTTGAAATATAAATTATTATTTATCTTTGTATTTGAATTATTATTAAAACTAAAATATGATTAATGTTTATGAATTTATTTATCTTTCTTCTACTTACTTTGTTTATAGTTATCTTATTATTTATTTCTTCTTTCTTTTCATTCTGATTTAATACTTTTAAAAGAATATTGCAATAAATATTATATTATATAACTATTCTAAATACATTAAATATCATTAACTTTCTTATTCTGTTTATTTTATATTTTATCTCCAATTTTGTGTTTCTTGATTAAAGTTAGGTTATTTTGTTTCTTCAAATATATTAGAAACTCTTAAATTTAGTGTGAAATATTTTATCCATCAATTATTTAGTAGTACACTGTTTAAATTCAAATTCTAATCATAAAAGTTATTTGAATATTATCATATAATTATTAATAATAAATAAATGGTTGTATTATTGGTGTTTGTTCTAATTATTTCCATTTTTCTTTATTATAATGAATTTCATAACAAATTGCTATGAGTATTTAATAGAAAGTTAATACTAGAATCAATTTCATTATTAATTCATTGATTTTTTATATTCTTTAATTTTATTTTCTTTAATATGATATTCTTTGTTTTTTCTCTTTTTCCATATATTTCTTCTTTGTTTGTTTCATTATATTTTGTTATTCTTTCTTTTTTATTTGTGTTATAACTTATTCTTGTTTCTTATTTCTTTTTCCATAATTACTTATTTCTTCATCTAAAGTATTATAATAATTGTTTTATCTATTTCTCTTTGATGTATTTCCCCTTTTTATCTTGTTGTAGGAACATCTCCATTTCTTGAAATGTATTATTAATTTTCTTTTGAATCATTTCATCATAATCACAATTAATATTAATCCTTTGAACTCCTTCTTCATTCTTTGTTTTTCTAACTCTAAACAAATACCACATTTTATTGTATACACATTAATAATGTTTTCTTCTTTAATTTCATTATTCACTTTCTCTTCCTAATACATGAATCACTAGTAGATACAGTAGATTTAATTTGTTTGTTAATGACAGACATGTAATGATTGTAGTTGATATTTTAGTTGTTTATATACTTCTTATTAATTTTAAGAATGTTATTATAATTCTTTTTCTATTTCATTATAGTTTTATTAGGGTATCTTCTGATTTCCACTTTCACTTTTACCAATCAATACAAAAACACTTCATCTCTTTAGAAAACAGAAACACTTCTTTTTACATTTACATTCAACATTATTCTTCTTCATTTATAAAATTGTATGATAAATCCTTTTGTTCAATATAAGAATACAACAAAATGTGATATTATACTTTGAATAACACCATTAAGAAATACATAGAAGAACAATATAAAATCAATAATAACATTCAAAAGAATAATCATCAACAGAAATAATAATAATTGAATGTAAAAAGAAAGAAGAAAAAAAAGGGTAATACTGAATAAAATAAAGTTAAAGAGAAAACAAAAGAATAACAAACAATTTAAGAAATGATTATTTCAATGATTTCAATATACTCTATTTCTACAATAGAGTTCACTTCTAACAATGAGAATTAGAAGGTTCCTCTTCTAATGTGTTGCCAGTGTTGAATATGTAGAACATTAAGTCTTTCATGTTTTTAATAATGATTGTTCGTAGTATTTTGTTGAAGTCAATTTGTAATTTTAGTGTTTTTAATCTTATTACTGATTCATTATGTATTAATTGATTGTTAATATTACAGGTATTATTTCTACATAAGTTAATTCTCTACTTTGTCTTAGCTTCTCTTGTAATTCTTTGTATTTATTTATTTTGTAAATATAATTTAATTCGATGTTTCTATCTTGACATATATCAACATTAATAATATATCCTTTTTTATCTTTGATGATTTGATAATATATCTGGTCTTCTAGCATTAAACGAATGGTCACTAACCAATAAATCTTTATTGTAAGTTATAACCATTTCATTATTATTAATACACTTAGGATGTGTATTAAAATCTATTTCATCAAATTCAATAAAATGGGTAATTAATATATGTTTATATATTTGTTTACATACATAATCGTGTTTTGATATTTGATTCTTCTTCATTACATGACATCATAACAAAATGTGGATAATAGATTAATTGTATTAGGACAATGTTTACAATATTTTAAAGCATCACAATTGAGTATTTTAGATTTAATATTTCCTGTCATAGTTACTCCTTCTTGTATCTTTACTACTTGGAAGAATGCATTTCTTTTTATATTTAATGACCTCCATGTAGTTACTGTTAATTTCTTATTATTAAATATACAATTTACATTTCTTATATATTCACTACATTTCTTTCAATTCATTTAAATATCTTTCATTTAATTTATTTGTTACAAATTCAAATACTTTGTTTATATCATGTTTTATTTCATTTAATTGTATTATATTCATTCATTGAAATTAATTTTCTTACAAAATACTCTTTTTATTCTTTTAATTATTCATTTTGGATTCTCTTTTACTGCTCTATCATTTCTCCTATTTCTGTATTTGATATTTATATTTTAAATATATTCTTATTATTTCTTTACATCATTCATCTCGTGCTGACATTAATCCAATTCCTAATTCATTTATTGTAACATATAATCTACTTTTATTGATGTTTCTACTGTATAGTTGGAGTTGTATCAATGCCTTTCTTATTTGTTTATCTATATTCTCAAATTCACCAAGTTTCCATGGGACAATACAGAATCCATATCTTAATTTGGAGATTATATCATTATTAATATTTCTTATTGTATTGATGGTACTATATTTCATAATATTTAATGATGATAGAATAGAAGATACTTCATTTAATATTCATGTATAATATTTATAATATTTTATTTTATCTCTTATTTCAATACCAAGATATTTATAAGGGTTATCATTAGTTACTCTTGGTAATTCAGCTAATTCTCCATTTATCTGACCATTGATATTAGTCATTATCACACTCTTTTCTACTTTTATTTTTAATCATATTCTATTAAATATTTCATTTGTTAATTTGTGGGCTTTTTCCATTTCTTCGAGGCTGTTAGTTATTATCTTTAAATCGTCCATATATGATATGTGGTTTAACTTTACTTGTTTTTCTTCTCCATTCATTTTAATAGATAACTTATTAATTTGTTTATCTAATTATTTAGATAATATAACAATAAATAATACAAATAATAATTTAGATAAACTATCACCTTGTATTATTCCTCTTTCTACATTAATTATACATTCATTTTGTTGATTATAATATAATTATAGTTGTGTGTTATTTAATATATATAATATACTTTTAATTACAACTAATGTGATGTTAAAATAAATTAAACATTGTTTAACCCATTGACGATTAATACTATCATATGCTTTAGAAATATCATATTATGTTTCTACCCACTTTCATTTATCCATAATTAATAACTGAATGATTATAGTATTGTATAATAATCATTCTTTTGATAATATGTATATTTTTTACATCAAATTTGATTTTGTGATAATTGTTTTTCAATTTGATTTAACATCAGTTGGCTTTCTATCTTCATCTTTAATAAAGATGTGTATACTTTTAACATACAATTTAGACAAGTTATTGGTCTGTAATTTTGTGTATCTCTGTTAATATATTATCATATTCATGTATTTCATTAATATATGTTTCATTTTGAGATATTTTAATGATAGAATTATGTGAATGAATTGATGACATTCTTTCTTCAACATTATCTTCTTCAATAATTTCATTATCATCATTAATTATTTTATCTTCATCATTTTTACTTCTTTCACTAATTACATACTTCTTCATTTGAAATGGTGCAATTTCATTAAAAAATACTTCTTTTGATTTTCTTTTCCTAAATTCAACTTTATTCCTTGGATGTACATTTGTATTATGTTTCATTTTATTTACAACTACATTTCCTATCAAACTATAACTCTTTGGTAATTCAATATTAGAAATAGATTTATCATTCCAATTTATTATAGTTTGTTTTGATTTAAAAGCAAATGATGGAAGGTCATC